TATTGTAGTTAAAATACTTACTTTTCAGTCATATAATATTTTAGTGTCACTCCATCCTTTTAGTCCTAACTCCATGTAGTAAAACTCCCAAGTCTTGAATTGATTTTTTTCTTATTTCTACTAAAAACAGGTTTATAACCCACAAGTTTTCTATCCAGTTCTTGAAGTTTCTTCAAAATTATGTTTTTTCAGTTCATTAAATTTGTTTTACTCGATGTTGTTACGAGGCTCAGTATGATTAACGTTTTTACAAAAATATCTAAATGAACTTCCGAGTAATTGTTTTAAGTTCACATAATGTTAACTTATATACTTGAGAATGATCTCACCATTCTTACTTACAATAAAAGCTGCAAATTAAAATTAAATAATATTTAGTCTTATTATGTATATCTATCTGCTGTTATTGGAACTGATTATGTCTTGATTTTCTAATTTTAAAGGTAAGTTTAAGGATTTACAACGCTAGCATCCGGGATTCGATTCCCTGCGGTGAACACAACAGATAGCCCAATGTGGCTGTCCTCTAAAAACAAACTAAATATTTTCACATATTTGTATTTTTCAGCCCTGTAAAATTTAGCAATTACGTTTTTTATTACACACTCTAGTAAACTTATTTTTACAATATTCAACACAAGAAATGAAAACTTTTACCCAGACATTAGCAGTCCGATTCCCCATCTCGTGTCCCATATTAAACCTCTTCTCCGACTCTTGTCACCAGGCGGTGAATTCGATGAAGGTTATGATCATCAAATTGAGGATGAGGATAAGACATTCAAAACTGGACCAGCCGAACGGAAAGAAAAGAAAAGAAACCCTAGACCCCAGACGTTACTTGTAGACGACAACGGAGAACCACATAAGGTCCAGAAAATAAGACTTGGAGAGTATAACTTAGAAGATTTTAATTTCCTGAAGGTTTTGGGCCGAAGTGGTTTCGGTAAGGTAAGTAAACCCTAACTCTTAATACTCCTAACATCATGAAAACTTGAGACGTGATTTGTTTCGGTAAAATAAATTATATGATATGTCACAATTCTAAAGAGAAACACTAACCTCGATCCGGTGGCTCAACAGTAAGATTGAGTGATAACTCTTAAGTTCGGGTTTGATCCCCGCATTGGCCATTGAACAAATAGCTCATTGTGCAACATTATACTTAACAACAAACGAGTAAATACTAGTTTACGATACTCCTAACGTAGTGAAGATATGGGGATAGACTGAGTTCTGTATGGTATGCCATTCTTCTATAGAGATAGGTAAATATTACTTGATGACATTCCTAACATCAGGAAAGTTTTAGAAGAGTGGTTTCGGTAAGCCAAGTGGTGTGTTCAAACTTATATAGCATTGTTGACGTTCTTTTTTCTTTAGACATTTTTGACGTTTTTCTTTCATTAGGTATTGTTGACGTTCTTCTTTCATTAAATATTGTTGACGTATTTTTTTCATTAGGTATTGTTGACGTTCTTTTTTTTATTAAACATTGCTGACGTTCTTTTTACATTAGACATTGCTGACGTTCTTTTTTTCATTAGACATTGTTGACGTTCTTCTTTCATTAAACATTGTTGACGTTTTACTTTCATTAGGTATTGTTGGTCCAACTGAAAGGACATGAATCCTATTATGCCATCAAGTGTCTGAAGAAGGATGTGATACTAGAAGACAACGACTTGGAAAGCGCCATTATAGAAAGGAAAGTGTTGGAGCTTGGAACCAGCCACCCATTCCTCTGCAAGCTCTTTTGTACATTTCAGAGCAAGGTTTGTGAAATTTATAAGTTCGTAGCACCTCTAAAATATGCATGCTTACAGGCTTTAATATCACTTGTAAAACAATAGATATTTAGATAGACTATTTAACACAAGAGACAAAGGCTGTTAAATAACACGTATGATTAAGTAAGGAAAATCATTGTTGGGTCGTAAGGTTTTCAGTATTATTTTACTAAACATCTTTATTTACATCCTACAATATAGTACTTGTGGTCTCTCTGTTTTGTTTTTTATTAAAGAGCCATCTCTTCTTTGCTATGGAGTATCTGGGAGGTGGAGATCTTATGTTTCACATAGAAGAGACTGGCAAGTTCAGCCATGATAGAGCAAGGTAAAAAAAAAAACGTTATTTTAATACCGCCACGATGCAGTTGCAAAATTATTTAATCAACGCCATTTTATGCATTTCCACATGAAACTCTAGAATTTGAATATTAATATATTTTGTTTTTCTTAGTCCCATGTCCATTAGAAGTTTTGGTAATTGTTATCTACAGCACTCCAAATAGTAGCAATATCTCGTATCCTTACCATAATAACACTCCAACTAGTAACAGTGTCCTGTATCTTTACCATAAAAATACTCCAAATAATAACAATATATTATATCCTTACTCCCAAGACTTATTGAACATACGTGTTTTTCTGACATCAAGAAATTATATCCTTACCATAACAGCACTAAAAGTAGTAACAATATCTTGTATTCTTACCATAACAACACTCCAAATAGTAACAGTATCTTGTATTCTTACCATAACAACACTCCAAATAGTAACAATATATTGTATCCTTACTATAACAACACTCCAAATAGTAACAATATATTGTATCCTTACTATAACAACACTCCAAATAGTAACAATATCTTGTATCCTCACTATAACAACACTCCAAATAGTAATGATATATTGTATCCTTACTTGCAGAAAGTAACTGATTTTGTAATACTGATTATAAGTATTATTTTATTACAAGTTACAACTTTTACAATAAGAAAGATTATTTTTAGATCAGGTTTTTCATCACTGGTTCGTTAATTTTCAAGTACACAGGCTTTAACAGTAAAGAAGGTTTTAATATTTAAATCAATATTCAACAATCTAACAATGTATTTAAATTGTAGAATTGATAGTGGTTGCTTATGTAGGTGCATATCAATTCGCATGAACTGACAGATCATTTATTTATAGCTGAACAAAGAAAACAAACAAAAAATAAATAATTATTTTCAAAAAGTGGAATAAAATTAGGAACGTCTATGGAAATAATGATCAAAGACATATGGAGATGTGCCTGGATATTTCTTAATTGTGGGATTGTTTTATTGTATTAATAAAGCTTTACTTGTTTTAGTAATATGATATTCTGTTCAGAAAAACTCAGGCTTTTTATGTTCATATGATCATGAACTTGGGAGACGGGTTCTCGGTGTTCTTTTAACCTGATCTTCAAGTTACGTCCCGTTTCACTTATGTAAAAAAAGTTGGCCAATTGTTTTGTAATTATTGAGGCATCAGTTTTCCAATTTGAGTAAATCATTTCCTTAGTTTGAATGATTGAAGTTATTCTTCAAAGTTCAAACCGGTGTCTGATGCAAATGTCTTTATTGCCGTTTCAAGATCTTGGCCACAGTTGATGACGACTGAAATGCTGTGAATTAACTTTTCGAATTAAACATTTTAAAAGACCTCCAAAAAAATGCCCTATAAGGTTTAAGCAGACCATTCTAAAGTGTTGAAATTGTAAGTTTCAAATAATATGTATGTTTCGTAAATATTTGTGGTACGGAAACTAACCCTGCTGGAACATCGTCTTGGCCTGCTGACTAAAAACCTCCATCATATTGGATTTAAATGTTCTGACAGTTAGTTACATTTATAAGTGAACGTTCATCGTGCACCAAAAGTCTAACCATCATTTTCACCTTAACCATCGTCTTGGCCTGCTGACTAAAAACCTCCATCATATTGGATTTAAATGTTCTGACAGTTAGTTACATTTATAAGTGAACGTTCATCGTGCACCAAAAGTCTAACCATCATTTTCACCTTAACCACTCCTATATCAGCCTGTGGTGATGTTTAACCACGAAATACCTATACATGTAATAAAACTTTAAAAATTTTAAACTTCTTGAAATACTTTATTTCTTGAAACATAAGCTCTAATAAGCAGTACGTCATTGATATAAAGAAATTATTTTTTCTTATGTGTACCTTTTTAATGAACGTGAAACTTTTCATTTTTTTGCTTAGATTTTATGCTGCAGAAATTGTTGTTGCCCTGACATTCATGCACAACAATGGAATCATCTACAGGTAAGAAACTTCCATAACTGACTGTTATTGTTGTTGTTTTCCAACGATACAACGTATGTCTTACGAAGAGTTTTGTCGACTAAGATAAGGTCATTTACTTGGGTAAATATTGCATGAAACAAAGAGGATAATAAAATATTTTCTTGAATTTAGTGTATTGTACTATTCTACAAGAAAAAAAAAGACATCTCTTTGGAGAAACAAAATACACTGTTAACGTTAAAGGATTGAATTTAGTACAGAGGTTGAGTATGCTATATTAAAACGATTTTGGAGACTCGCTACGTCGTTACAGTTCACGTCACTATATCTAGTTATACTCTATTTGATGACCGTACCTCTTAACACTAGCCCTGTAACGTTGTTTCCATTGCAAAAGACTCCGTCGTAAGACTATTGCATCCAAAGCACATCCCACCTCTCTGCATGCTTTCCATAGTTCCTCTAATGTAAGAAAAAGACACTTTCCCAGCGCCAAGTTGCGTATTGTTGCCTGGAGCACGTGGACGACTTTTGCCACTAACCTTTGTGTTACATGATGCCGCACTTTTACTTTTACCACCGCTGGATGCGACTTGTTGTAGGTCTTTTTCTGAATGGTCCTGGCGCCTCAGAATTATTCATATTCCTTTATTTTCCAAAGTCATTACTAAGTGATATCCTCTTCTTGGAAATTGTAAATCCCCCATCTGAAAACATAATTATGATCTGTGTGTATGGATATTTTACATCAGAAAGAGCTGTTACATACTCTTTCCAAAACAGATCAATTTTCGGTGGTCTCACATTACCTATGTAACGCCAAACATTGTCAAAATGTCTACCACAAGTTTCTATACTTAGAATATTTTTAATGTGACGTATTCGACCCTCTATCATATTATATTTTATTATATTATTTAACAATTACTTCTTCACAACCCCAGACTAGCAACTACTAACATAATTACAAGTTTTGACATGTTTCTGCTTTGGTATTTCTGTAGAGATTTGAAGTTGGATAACGTTATGCTAGACTCGGAAGGACATATTCGTTTGGTAGACTTTGGAATGTGCCAGTTAAATATCTTTAACGAAGAGTGTCTTCCTTCAAACTTTTGTGGTACTCCCGAGTATATGGCACCAGAAGTATGTATACTCATCAGTTTCCGTACTTGTCTTCAAATGTTGTTATTCTTTTTAACGCAAAGCTATACAATGACCTATATGCGCTCTGTCCACCGCAAGGAATCGAGCCCTGGATTTTAGCATTCTTAATCCGGAAACTTATCGCTGATCCACCAAGGGACTTGTCTTTGGATAGCACAAACTATGTGTCGTTAGTTTCTCCGGCAAGTTTTATTATTTTCTGTGCAATCTTTTAACTCAGTGTTTACAGTAGACCAATACTAGGAAATATTTTATATGATTTTATATGTTTATTAATGGCATTCTCTCAACACTAGGGGGACAATATCGTCGATACATAGTACGTCATTAGCTGTTTCTATTGGCATCTTCATCGTATTGTATCTAATGTTATACTGCTAAATAATATTTTCGAACTACTCATACACTAATTATGGTATTTTGGCACTTGTGTATAAAGTTAAAATCATAAATAATATGCAACGTTAAACTGGTACACAATTAAAAACATTTTATTTAGGCCTATCTATGGCCTTCAAAAAGAGGACAAATTTACATGAGTTTTTTACCCGTAACTAGATGAATTCACAGTTTTCCAGTATTATTGAT